TCGGCTCACCGCAACCTCCACCCCCTGGGTTCAGGCAATTCTCCTGCCTCAGCCTCCTGAGTAGCTGGGATTACAAGCACGCACCACCATGCCCAGCTAATTTTTTGTATGTTTAGTAGAGACGGGGTTTCACCATGTTGACCAGGATGGTCTCAATCTCTTGACCTCGTGATCCACCCGCCTCGGCCTCCCAAAGTGCTGGGATTACCGGCGTGAGCCACCGCGCCTGGCCTTGAAGTCTTACTTAGTTACTGCATTTAGCATTAAGTTCAAGATCTCTATTCGATATGCAGCCATTTTTAGATCCATCTTCCTAGCAGTCTGGTCACCTATACTTAAATTATAAACTACCCTTCTCAACATACCCAATATACACTAGCGGGGAGGTAACCAGAGAAATATAATAAAAACTACCATTTGAAAAAAAGAGGAAATAGGAAACAATACATAGTAGTTTCTGGTCCAAAGCACGTATCATAACCTGTTAGAAAAGGACTACCTATCCTGGCAGTTGGGTGACTCTTTTGGTCAAATACCTCTTTGTGTTCTCTGACAGTGTCTCTCGTTGAGGCATATCTTGGGTGGATACCCTTTTTGAGGGTTGAACTGTTTTACCATTCTACTTCATCTTCCGCCACTCCTTGCACCTGGAGATTGAATAGTCAGAGGTTTTTTTAATTATTGGCTATAATTAGAGATTATTTAGTATAGTAGTTCTCTAACTTTAGTACATATTAGCATCACCTGGAAAACTTGTTGAACTAACAGATTTCTGGGACCCTCTTACAGAGATTCTGATTAGCTGGTCTAGTGTGGGGTCCATGGACTTATATTTATAACAAGTTCCCACATGAGACTGATGCTGCTGGTTCTGGGTTCCCACACTGAAAATCACTGATTTATAGGTAGCAATTGAGTGAGGCAGAGTTATTATTTCCTATAATTACCTGATAAGATTACCCAAAGTGATTGTTAAATATAAACTGCTGAGCCCCATCTTAGATATAATAAATCAAAATCTCTTGGGAAGGGACCTGGGGCAGCTATATAAGATACCCCAGGTGATTCTTATCATCAGTAATGATTAGGAAACACTGATTTAGGAAATTAGGTTTTTCTTGCCTCTAATCTTATTTCCTGATAAGTCTTCCATCTCCTTACCCTTGTTCTCACTACACTTAGTTTGGGGCAAAAAAATTGGCTTTTCCAGTTATACAAAGTTCCAAATTACCCAGATCTCTTTCCACTGGGATTTCACAAAACCAATAACTAAACTAGCAAAGCTTTATTTTCTTCTTTCACTGTTTTCAAATAGGCCATTTCAACAATGGAGATGGTATGCTTGATCTTGGCCTAAAGCACAGATAATAGGGCCACATGCTCCCCAAGGGAGGATGAAATAAGCAAAAAATAATAATAAGTTCAGCTGATTGGACATTAATTTCAGGTTTTACTAGCTTTGTAACTTTGGGCAAGTTACCTAATCCTTGTGAGTCTACTCCTCATCTTGATAGTGAAGGTAACAGTCTTTGCTCTGTTCTGTTGAGGTATATGAGAAACTATATCCTTAGCATGCAACATAGTGCAGCACAGATGTTTAATAAAGGTGAATTCTTTTTAGTTCTCAATAGGGTAGACTGCATGTCCTTTTGGTTAACCTTTATATTTAGCAATGCTCCAGTGACATTTAACTAGTGAATATAGGTCTAGAAATTCTGTTGCTGAAATATGAAAGAAATTATTTAAATAATTATTTGGATGTACATAGCTCTCTTAATCTCTCCTAAAAACTGAGATTGTTTTCCCAGAGAGCTCATTAATCTTTATAACATTACTGGGCAGTTAAGAGAGCAGGGTATTACCCTGAATGCAATCACTCATTCATTCATTCCTTCAGCTACTTTTGGATGGATTTACCCAGTAGTGATGAAAGAGATAAATACTGTTCATTCTGTCAGGGAGTTTACATTTTTAGAGGGGAGAAAAGCAACAAAGATGTAGACAAATAACCAATATAATTTCAGAGAGTGATAAATTGTATGAAGAACAAAAAACCAGAGCAATGGATAGAGAATAATTGAAATAAGGGCACTACTTCAGCAAAAGGTTGTCAGAGAAAGGCCTGATGGGATATTAGCAAATAACTAAATTATAAGAAGCCAGCTCATACAATGATTTGAGGAAGGAGTGTTCTAGAGAGAAAAAAAAAGTTGAAAGGTTGGAATGGCTGATGCCATTTATCCATAGCTATTACTTCAGTAATGTGTTTAACATTGAGACCTAGGGCCTGTGATTCCTCTCTCCTGTTCTGCACAGCTAACACTATATCTCTATTGTTTTCTGGTATTTTTTGGGAGTTTTTAATTTTTGTTTTGTTTTGTCTTGAGATGTAGTTTCGCTCTTGTTGCCCAGGTTGTAGTGCAATGGCATGATCTTGGCTCACTGCAACCTTTGCCTCCCTGGTTCAAGCATTTCTCCTGCCTCAGCCTCCCAAGTAGCTAGGATTACAGGCATGCACTACCATGCCTAACTAATTTTGTATTTTCAGTAGAGACATGGTTTCACCATGTTGGTCAGGCTGGTCTTGAACTCCTGACCTCAGATGATCTGCCTGCCTCGGCCTCCCAAAGTGCTGGAATTACAGGCCACTGGGTCTGGCCTTAAATATGTTTTCTACTGTTATCCTAGAAAGCAAGTAAAGTGGGTAAGAGGTCACTGATTCAGTGAAAATGGGGCAGATTTCTTCCTGTACCCCAAATCTATGAAACAGGTATATAACAAAGTTGAAGCTCATATATAATATAATGAATGTGTATACCTGTTTTTCTAGTTACATTTTCAAGCACATACTATAAGACATTTGCATTTTAAGTTTAAATCATTTGCCTCGAGAGGATGTCAGGATTTCAGTAAACATTTGTTGAACAGCTACTATATTCTGGGCACATCTTAATCTTCACAGGATACTGGAAGCTGAGTGTTATTAACTCCGTTTTTCAGATAAGGAAATTAAAGAGAAAAGGGAAATTAGAGTCACACAGCAAGTAAGAGTGCTCGACTGAAACTAGGTCTCTTGATGCCAAGTAATACTCTAATTATTATTTTTTTGCTAATATTTGCATAAAGAAAAGTAGCACCAAGAGAGAAGTCCAAGTGATTCATAGCTGTGATTTTCTCCATGACTCATTCATATTCTTCCCTTTCTGTCACTCTCTTTCTACACGCACTTTATTCCTACTGTTAAATCCACTTTATTCATTCATTTGTTCAACAAATTTATTCAGTGCCTACTTTGTTCCAGGCACTATACTAGGCATTTGGGATATTTCGTGAACAAAACATGCCTGTTTCCATGGAGCTTGCATTCAAGCAAGGAGAGGCTAACAATAAAAAAATATATAATAAGTAAATTATGTGGGATGCCAAAAAAGTGATAACTGTTATAAAAAGAAGAAAGAACAAGGTAAGAAGTAAGATAAGTGGTAGGTCACCATGTTAAATAGGGAGATTGGGGTGGACTTCATGGAGAAGGTAATATTTGAGCAAATAAATGAAGGAAGTGAGTTAGCCAAGCATATATCTAGAGAAATAACTTTCTAGGCAAAAGGAACTGCTAGAGGAAAGGCCCTAAGAGATAGATGCATCTTTGGCATGTTCAAAGATTAACAGGGAGGCTGATTTAGGTGTAGCAGCATAGGTGAAGTAGAAAGACATAGGAGAAGTCAAAGAAGAAATAGGTTCTAAATCATATAAGGCAATGTAGAGACTTGGCATTTACTCTGCATGAAATGGGGAGCCTGTCACAAGTTGGGTTTTCTCAGGAAACAGACCCTGAAACAAAGTTAATCCTGTAGAAAATGTATTAAGCAGTGCCCTTGGGGTCAGTACCTGGGAAAGAAATGGGAAACCAGCAGGAAGACAAAGAAAGAAGTGAAGCTCTGAAAAAGACTCAATGGCAGCATCAGTCACATCCACAGGAAGCTGTGGAGCTAGAATGGCCCTTCAGAGTTGGGGCAATATTTGCAGGCCTTTAAACTCCTATATTAATCAGTCTTTGGATATGTGCTGCCTCAGGAAGGGGTGTAACCTTGGACAAGGTTGCTTTCAGCAGCTGAGGCAATCTCCTAAAGAGTGAGAGCTGAAGCCGCATAGTAAGTTCATAATTGAAGTATAACCTGGGTGTTGTATCCCATGTCCACAAAGCCACTGTGGATTTTCAGTAGAGAATTGACCCGACTTATATTTCTAAAAAATCTCTCTGCTGTTTTGAGAACAGGCTATAGGGGAGAAAGTGAGGAAGTGGGGAAACTAGAGTATTGTAGCATCCAGTGTGTGAAATGATGATATCTGAGAGGTAACAATGGAGGTGGTGAGAGATATTTAAATTTGGGGTATATTTTGAAGGAAGAGTAAGTAGAATTCTCTCACATACTACAAGTGAAATGTAAGGAAAGAAAGGAGTCATGGATGGCTCCAAAAAACAACTGGGAAGATGGAGTTGCCACTGATAGAGATGAAGAAGGCTGTGGTTTGGATGGGTGCTAGGAATAGGAGAGGCTAGGACATCAGTTTTGGGCAAGTTCAGTTTGAAGGTATTTTTAGGACATCTAAGTGAGGCTGTTGAGCAGTTATTAGATATACGAGTGTGCAGTCTATGGGCAAGGTCTGGCTAAGCTGGATATATAAGTTGGAAATTTCTCCATGTAAATGATACTTAAAACCGTGGGACTATATGAGATCACCCTAGGGAGTGGGTGTACATAGAGAACAACAGAAGACCATGGACAGAGCCCTGGATCTTAAAGTGATCAGAGAGAAGAGGAGACACAAACGAGACTGAGAAGTCACTACCAGTGAGGTAGGAGGTAAATGAAGAGTGTAATGTCCTGGAAGTCCTTTTCAGCCTCTGTCCTGCCTCGTAAATCTATGTGACAATTTATTTTTCACTTAATCTCAAATGTCAACTCCTTCACTGTACTTTTTTTGCTTTTCAGCTCCTTTGAATAAACCACCAAGAACCCATACATGACTTTGTTTTCATTGTATCAAAGTCATGTGTCCACCAGTCTGAGCACCAGCAACTCACTTCTTCCTTAGACGTCTCTAAAGCTGGAAAGATTTTAAGGGACAATATGGTTTCTTTCAACCCACCCCAATGTTATGAATGAGATCATCAGACCAACAGCAAACACCTAAAAGGTAAGAGGTTATTTTTTAAAATCTTCTGTCCCCACCCTATAACACAGCAGAAAACAAATGGAAGTGTCACAAAAGAGTGTCTTCGTGAACGGGAGAGAAGGCAGGTGGGCTGCTGAAAGCCTAGCTCAAAACATGGTTGACTATGCATACAGAAGGAAATTAGAGGCTCTTGCTGGTGTATTGCCTGTATTTCCAGCTGCTGAGGTGGCTGAAGTAAGAGGATCCCTGAGTGCGGTTCAATTCCCGTCTGGGCAACATAGTGAGACCTCCATCTCTAAAAAACTAAAATAAAAGAAGGAAGTCAGGACCAATGAAAGGAGAGCCTGAGTGAACCTACAGCTCTTATATCAGTCCTCAGTATTACATATACATGCCCAAGCACTACCCAGATGCTACCATTCAGTGACCTGCCTCTTCTTACCAGTGTTTACTTATGGAACACAAAATATTTCTGGTGCAGATGGCCTCAGCAGGGTCCTCAGTAATCAAGCCCCACCCTGGCATAGTACTGACCTTGCAAAGCCTTTGCTTATCCCACTCACCCAGAGAGTTCAGTTTGAAGGTATTTTTAGGACATCTAAGTGAGGCTGTTGAGCAGTTATTAGATATACGAGTGTGCAGTTTATGGGCGAGGTCTGGCTAATTGTATCCCATTTCCACAAAGCCACTGTGGATTTTCAGTAGCTTTGAAACTGGGCTATTGAAACTGTTGGTTCCAATAGACATCTGTTATTTATTATTTGCTGAATATTTGTTAATTACTGTGGATATTCGTTGGCTTTAGGGCCCCCTCTTGCTTAAACACTAAAGTAGACAAATCATTGTGCACACAGGATCAGGTTCACCCAGACAGTAATTCAAATGGTTCTTGGCCCACTTCTTTCCAATCCTCAGATACTTGGAATACTATTAGTTACCCTGCGTGAGAGTGTGACTGTTTCTTAGGAGATTCCATTTTGCATGGGAAGAGAGAAAAGAATTGAAGAATAGTGGGATGGCTGGGAGAAGGGTAGAGAACCCCAAAGTTTTCTAAACCTCACCTTTTTTTTTTCTTTTTTTTGAGAGAAGGAAAGAAAAAAAGTGAGTAAAGAGAGGAAGAAAGAGGAAGAAAAAGAAGGAGGGTGAATGGAAATATTGATTTATTCTGAAAAAAAATGGGTATTAATAATGGCCAATCAATGTTTCATTTAAACCTATGAGTAGGTGTGGTGTGGTATTGACAAGAATGTATATTTTGTGTATTTGAAGTGGAGAGCTCTATAAATATTTATTTGTATTTGAAGTGGAGAGCTCTATAAATATTTATTAAGTTTACTTCTTCGGGATCTGAGTTCAAGTCCTTGATATCCTTATTAATTTTCTGTCTCATTGAATCTAAGTCTCTATGTATCTGGGTGTTAGGATCTTTAGCTCTTGTTGTTGCATTGATCCTTTTACCACTATATCTTTGTTGCTTTAAAATCTATTTTATCCGATACGAGAATTGCAACTCCTGCTTTTTATGTATTTATTTATTTATTTTTGCTCTCCATTTGGTTGGTAAATCTTTCTCCATCCCTATGTTTTGAGTCTTTGTGTATCCTTGCATGTGAAACAGGTCTGGATGTAACATGCCGTTGGGTTTTGGCTGTGCCTTTGATTGGGGGATTTAGTCGATTTAAATTTAGGGTTACTGCCATTTGATGTTAACTGGCTGTTTTATCCATTCGTTGATGTAAATTCCTTATGTTGGTGCTCTTTACTTTTTGGTATATTTTTAGAAAGGCTAATACTGGTTGTTTCTTTCTGTGTGTAATGCTTCTTTCAGAAGCTCTTGTAAAGCAGGCCTGGTGGTAATAAAATCTCTGAGTACTTGCTTGTTCATAAAAGCTTTTATTTTTCCTTCAGTTGTGAAGCTTAGTTTGGCTGGATATGAAATTCTGGGCTGAAGGTTCTGTTCTTTGAAGATTCTGAATATTGGCCCCCACTCTCTTCTGGCTTGTAGAGTTTCTGCTGAGAGATCTGCTGTAAGTCTGATAGGCTTGCCTTTGTGGGTAACCTGACCTTTCTCTCTGGCTGCCCTTAGTATTTTCTCCTTCGTTTCAACCCTGGTGAATCTAACGATTATGTGCCTTGGGGTTGCTCTTCTTGAGGAATATCTTTGTGGTGTTCTCTGTATTACCTGGGGTTGAATATTGACCTGCTTTGCTAGTTTAGGAAAATTTTCCTGAATAATATCCTGAAGGGTATTTTCCAGCTTGGATTCATTCTCTCTGTTGCATTCAGGTACACCTATCAGACGTAAATTTGGTCTTTTCACATAGTCCCACATTTCTTGGAGACTTTGCTCTTTCCTTTTTATCCTTTTTTCTCTAATCTTGTCTTCTTGTTTGATTTCATTAAGTTGGACTTTGACCTCTGATATCCTTTTTTCTGCTTGAACAATTCGAGTGTTTAAACCTGTGCATACTTCTCGGAGTTCCTGTATTGTATTCTTCAGTTCCATTAATTCACTTATATTCCTCTCTAAGTTGTCTATTCTCAATAGGATTTCATCAAACCTTTTTTCAAAGTTCTTAGTTTCTTTACGTTGGGCTACAACATGTTCTTTTAACTCACAGAAGTTTCTTATTATCCATTCCCTGAAGCGTGATTCTGTTATTGGGATGCGCTCGTTCTCCATCAAGCCTTGTTCCATTGTTGATGTGGAACTGTGATCATCTTTAGAGGGAGAGGCGTTCTGATTTTGAGTATTCTCAGCCTTTTTTTGCTGGTTTCTTCCCATTGTTGTAAATTTATCCTCCTGTCATCTTTGAAATTACCAACTTTCAGATTAGGTCTCTTGAGTGGACGTCTGAATTGTTAGTTCCCAGGGCCAGAACAGCGACGTTAAGACTGATGGTGCTTTTCTCTCCAGGATTCTCCTGTCTGGCTTCCTTCTTGTGTCCGTAATAGGCGACTCTCAACCTCACCTCTTATTCCTTGTCTGTCACTCACTTGTTTTCTCCTCATTCACTAAAATGTGAGTGCCCTGCACACACGAGTACCACTAGCTGCAGGGCACAAAAAGCAGATCTCTCAAGAGTGACTGTTGAAAACTATCACCCTGCACAAGGAAAGGCAGCTTTTGGAATAAATATTAACATATCAGTATTGTCTGAAATTGATAATGCCTTTTAAAGTGGGTAGTTTCACAGAATGGAAATGTAGTTTGTAATTTTGCATAACAAATGGGGTCACTGAACTGCGTGACAGCATTATATAATTTGCCTGGAATGAAGACCACCTTTTCAGCCCAGCATTCAAGGCCCCTCATGATCTGCCTGCTTTCCAGCCTTCTAGCTTAACTATTTATTATTACACTATTTACCACTACTCCCTGCTCCTTATGTTTCAGGCCATTTCCTTCAACAGTCCAAGTTGTTTCAAGTCTCTTGGTTTTTGTACTTGTTTCTCCTGCCTGGAAGGTGCTTCCTCTCACTGCATTACCTGGGTGAAAACATGCTCAATTTTTTAGGACCTTACTTAAATGTTTCATATCTGAAGTCTTTAATTAATGCCCCAGCTTGGTCAGTTGATCACTCCTTTGTACTCTTATATCCTTTATCCCTTTGTTACAGTATTTGCTGCTACCTCCTGTTGCCCCAGAATGACAGCTTCTCTGTGATCTCTTCAGAGGCAACAGCTGTGTGGTTGAATTCCTCCCCATATCCTAGACATTGCCCAGCACAGATAAGGTTCTTTCTGGGACATCAGAAAGTATTTTTTGACAAATTGGCTGGCTAAGAGAAGCAATAGTGGCCCTGGGTATTTTCTTCTCAAGACAAATATAAGGGATTTGCTACGAGAGTCTATAGAAGCAATGGAGAAGAAGAGAACTGAGGTGACAGTAACAATCTTATGGCCATTCTTTCAGATGATAACTTTCAGTGCTTCTGTGAGGTCAGATGCTTGCCTCTCTTTTCTCACAAAAAGAAACTGAGAAGGGAAGTGGCAGGTCTCCCAGGTCCTACAGCCAATCAGCAGCGGGGCTGGAACTCCAACCTTGGGATCCCAATACCAGACCCTAAACTTCCTGCTCTAGTTCCTCTAAATCTGGGCAGGAGTTACAGCTCAAACCTGACCTAGATGCATTCAGGATAAGGGGTTTCTCCATATGTTACTTCTGACGCTGGGAATGCTGTCATGATCCTGGGTGGTCCGTGGTACTTTCCAGGGTGAGCCCATTTACCCTGAGAGGATGTACTACCTCTCCAAGTAACCATGGAGTCAAATGTCTATCTCTGGCCAGCTTCAGGACAACAAAGATGTTTTATCAGGCACCACTGAGCTGTACATTGTGAACAAATTCACGGGGAAGCAGCAGATACTAGAGAACCTTCTTGCTCCGCTTCTACCATCTATTGCCTGTGAGACAAGAGGAAATCAGTCAACTTTTCTTCTTTTTGGACCCATTATTTCCTGAAACAAAATGAAATGCACAGGTAATTGAGGGTGGCATATGGTACTGATAAGCCATGTACCTCACAGGCTTTTTGTAATGCTCTAGTCATACAATGAACAACGAAACACTTGTGAGGTGTAATGGGATATTTAAGTGTAAAGCAATGTTACCATAAATCAGTGAGCGAATATTATTCTTGCAGGAAAATGCAGATAGGAAATAAGTATAAAATCCAGAAACCAATTTAATATCTGCAGTGCTCATCTATGCCATGATAGGAATTATAAGAGAGTGTAGAGCTGTAGTTTTTGTGATTTGAAGTTGAGGAACTTTTCATCTATTGGTAGTTCAAAGTTTACATTAACAATGTCATAAATCTGGACCTGTAACTGGCCACCTTTGAAAGTCTATGGAGAAGATATGCATGAGAATAAAGGTACCACAGGGGGAAAAACAAATCACAAAATGAAACAAGCAAAAACTTTATCATGATTATGACATTTGAATCAATTTTTTTTTTTGAGATGGAGTCTCACTCTGTCTCCCAGACTGGATTTGTGCAGTGGTGTGATCTTGGCTCATTGCAACCTTCATCTCCTGGATTCAAGCGATTCTCCTGTCTCAGCCCCCAGAGTATCCGGGACTACAGGTGCCGGCCACCACCATGCCTGGCTAATTTTTGTATTTTTAGTAGAGACAGGGTTTCACCATGTTGGCCAGGCTGGTCTTGAACTCCTGACTTGAGGTGATTGGCCCACCTTGGCCTCCCAAGGTTCTGGGATTACAAGCATGAGCCATTGTGCCCATCTTGAATCTGTGGATTTAGAGAGGCTCTAGACCTCTTCTTCCCTCTGCTTCTTCCAGTATTATTAGCCAATATATTGCTTTCACTTTCTGGCACTTACAAAAAGAGGAAAAAAAGATTTTAACTAATACGTTTCTTTGTTTTTCTTTTTAATCCCCATAACATTCTGTACCAGGAGAGGAAATGCCAGTTTCTTACTTAGATGAATAGAAGATTGTTGACTGGGTATATGGAAATTAAAGATATAAGCATATACAGACAAGGACTGGTGGTAAGGTCAGAACAACAGAATTTGAGAGCTATGCGGGCCTTGGGATTATCTAGTCTACCTCCTCATTTGTACAGAGTATGAAACAGGTCCAGAGAGGGGAAAGGTCCTATAGGAGTCAGGTCTTAAATCAGTATGTCTGACTCCCAAGCCACACTGCTTCTGCTCCTTCTCCTTCTTTTGTCCCCCCTGCCTTTTTTTTTGTAAAGGAAATAAAATGTTAGAGATATACTTTTAGTTCTTATTTTATTCCAACCCCATTTTTCCTTTTGTCACTGAACTGTAGTTGATACAAGTTTATTTTTTCACTATATGTTTATCCCCAAAATATATCTGGTTTTCATATTTTAAACTTTTACCCATATAGTGTACTATGCCAGTATTTCTGTATCCCACTTTTTTCGCTCTATTTTTGTTACCTTTTCATATGGATATATAAAATGCCATTTTGTGGCTATACCACAATGTATATATTCCCAAAGAATGAATATTTAGATAATTGTCAGTTTGAGGTGTTTTTTTTTTCAGTACTTGTTTCTAAAATATTTTTACACATTTTTCCTTTTGCACATGAGTTTCTGTTGTGTATATGCCTAGAATTGCTGGGTCGTAGGGTAGGTACATTTTTTATTTTACTAGAGAATTCCAGACTTCTCTTCAGAATAGTGACATTGGTGTGTCAGATGGAACCAGAATCTGCTCCAAGTACATCACAAGGTTTAGTGAGGATCCAAGCAAAATGAGTGTGAAAACACTTTTGAAGTTGTTGACAATGCGGTGCCATGAATCGTGAGGAGGCAATTTTAAGTCAGTGTGTGGACAACAATGATCATAGGTAGACACTGGATAAATGACCAACTCTTAATGAAGTCTTAATTTTATCTACCTTAGGGTCATGTCCAGAGAATCAGCAAAAACGATTACATTTAAATATGTCTTCATGTTTTGTGAGGGCTTTAGATCTGATGTAAACATATAAGAAAAAAATCATGTTTAATATAGCCAGAAGATATATAATAACATCAGTTTCTGGGCAGAAAGTCAGCCCTATACAAATTCTAAATGCCAGTTACAAACTAGACAGGTTTTAACATGGTTTAGAATGCCTTCACAGGGAACTAGCACTGTACCTTTGTCTCTGAGAAAAATAGACAAATGAGTCAGTTATGTGTTTACTGTTTAATTCATATTCAATTATATTTTGCAGCTTAAAAGGCCACTAATTAAAAAAAACAACAAAATAAATCTCACTTGGAATATTGGGGGTTTTTTTTGGCTGGTTCATTATTTTAGTGTACTTTTCTTTGAACTGTGTTTTGGTTTCTGGGTTAAGATGGTGATGCTTCATCCACTTTTATTCTCCCACTGAATAATTCATGATGGACTGGAGAATCTCAATGATTGGTTCACCATACTCTGGCAGAAATTCCTACTGACTGCCATACCTTGAGTAAGAAACTCTTGGTAACCAATGCAGACTCAGACCTCTTGAAAAATGAAAAGCAGGGCCAAGCTGGATAAAAGCCAGAATTACTGTTTGCCAAATTACACTGTTGGGTTTTGTGGAACAGTTAGGACTCTCATATACCTAAAGATAGTGAAAAGATATATAGAGGTTACTGAGGTTGGAAATATATGTTGAGTTTAATCTAATATTGTAATCGACAATGGCCTTTCAATGAAGATTTAAGGAATTTGGAATCTATTCTGCAGGCAGAAGGGAAAGTATTGATGATTTTGAGCAGTGACAATAGGATCAGATGCATGTTTTAAAGGTCTAGAAGTGTAAAGAGTATATGTATATTAGGGCTGGAGTGGCAGGAGGCTGGGAGACAAACTTATTGCAAGGCTCCACGTAAAATCATATGGACTTCACTGAATCTTATCCTCAGGTAAATACTAATAATTAAAAGGGTTTCACCATTTATAGAGCTTTCAGATTTATCCTTAATATTATTATCCTCACATCTGCTGAAGAGCAAGCCTCTCATCATCTTCTGCTCCAGTCTTGTGATGGTAGCATGTACCTGCTTCTGGTGGTGATAAACCCTGGGCAATCATCTCTGCTAGGAACAGCTGTTCTTCATGGTGACTGCTGTGAAACCAACAGGATGGCCTCTTTTCTATTTAGTCCTAAGAGTGGGCATAAGGTAAGCATTTGTAAGATTTTACTGAAACTTTTGGAGTATGAAAAGGAAAATGCTACACTGAATACAACTACAACTATTCAGGCACAGGCCCATCCCAGAGTCTCTTACCAAGTTGACTCTCCTGTTTGTCTGTCTTTCTTTTCTCCCTTCACGTGGCTTCAGACAGCTCACCTTCCAACCACAGGAAGTGTTTACAGCATCTCCACATCTTTCCACAAGGTGGAGTTCAAGGCCAAATTTTTCACTAGCCCCAGATACTGGAAGGAGTATTTTTTTCTTCATTTGTATTCAATGTAAGGCCTGCCTCCTAGGTCTTGATTTCCTATTCACACATTAAATCTGACAGTGGCAACATATTCCCTGTGGAGGAAATTCTGTCTAGGCCTAAAGCAGTGTGGTCTAGCTTTATGGTTTGATAAAGACAATCACACAATATCCAATGTATTTCCTACATCACATGTAGGCCATCAACAGTCTGATCAAGGTTGGACTATGTCAAATTGAACACACCTTCTAGATATCAAGTGATTATAAACTCTGGAGGTTCAGTCTCACTCATAGCACCTGCCTTAGCCTGTTTTCTGTTGCTTATAACAAAATACCTGAAAATTTATATATTTTTATAAATTATTTCCTACAGTTTTGGAGTCTGGGAAGTTGAGGATTGAGGGGCCACGTCTGGTGAGGGCCTTCTTGATGGTAGAAACTCTGCAGTCCTGAGATAGCACAGGGTATCACATGGAAGGGGGCTAAGTATGCTAACATGATAGCTTAGGTCTCTCTTTCTCTTCTTATAAAGCCACCATTTCTACTTCCATCATAACCCATCAACAGATTAATCCATTCACAAGGCCAGAACCCTCTGATTCAATCACCATACCTCTGAAAGGCCATACCTATGAATACTGCCCCATAGGAGATCAAGTTTCAACATAAGTTTTAGAGGAAATATTCAAACCATAGCAGTTTCTGTGTATTTGTGTGCATGCATGCACACTTGAGAGGACTAGAAAGGCAGAGATACCTATACATATATACACCTGTACATTAAATGCAATTATGTACATATATACAAAGTTGTAAAAATGGAACTATAGTATATATCCTCCTTTATAAATTTCTCCACTTAATAGAACATTAACATGTTTGTAGGTTCTTTTATGCAGAGTTACTTCTTTATATAGTATTCCATTGTGTGAATAAAGCGTAATTTATTTAGCAAATCCTTGTAGATACATATTGGGAAAACTTTCAAAATTTAGTTATTATGAACAATGCAACCAAGAACGTTGTCATTCACATATTGTTATACCCAAGAGAGTTAGAAGGATAGTGCCGCACTCTGAGTTCCAATTGAGAGTCCTTTATTACCGGCGACCGAGAATCAGCTCCTGCTCAAAATCTCTCGTCCCCTTCTGATTTCCTTTTATACCTAACCTAGAAGAGAGGGGATGGGGAGTCTAGCAGAAGCGGAATTTACAGAAGCAGAACAAGCAAGGTAGTAGGAGGAAGCTGATAACCAGGAGGCAGGAGGTTCCCATAGTTGCTGGTTACTAAGAGTATTTCCATACAATCATCAAGGAGGGTAGCGGGGGGACTTTCCATACAATCAATCACCAAGGGGCGGGGGTCACAATAGCAGGTAGACTTGCCAAGCAGGATATGGTTACAGCAGTTACAGGTACTGAGAACAGGTGACCCACACCTCAGCAATTCAAGGCTCTGAATACAGCGTGACCCAGTAATGCACCTGAGAGGGCTGTGGCAGGAAGGACAAAGCTAAACTGGAGCTTGTCAGGCTTATTTCTAAGATAAAGTCAGATTAGTTCATTTCAATATATTGTGTACTTATACATGAATTTTAATAGGATGAGCTGTTAATATAAATATTTCTTATCTTTCCAGGTAAAACATTGTTGGATACTTCCTTTGGAGTTCTAGACTCAGGGTGAGATTACAGAAGATATGCTCAACATGCTCCTTTGACCTGGTCCCAGTTTCACCATATTTGATAGATGCTTTACAGTCTCTGGTAAGGAGGTGTGCAATTCTCTGATTTTATTATAGTTTTTAGGGAATTTTATTTTATACATTTCAACAAAAAAAATTACATAAATAAGTAACAGCTCCACTGAAAGCTGTGTTTTAAAGGAACAAATATTGGTACTTTGTGAACAAATGTGGTGCTTTTTCTTTCTTTAATTATTGGCTATCAATCTTATTTTACTGAATATATACTGATAAATTTATTTTGGTCCATTTATTTGAGTTCAAAGACTATTTAATACTCTTCCCAATGAAACAGTCATGGGCCATTGCTATCTTCAAAAAAACTAAATATATAAGTAGCAGCTCTCCTCAAAAAAGATGACAAAGTCTTCTTTTCCCTTTAGAGAATAAATTTCAGTGGCTGGTAAAACTATTTTAGCAACAATATGCTCACTTCTTCTATGATATTTTTTTCTTCTCTATTAAGTTCAAAGTTTCTCTCAGTAACCATAGCAACTCAAAATTGTTTCTCTACCTGACTGAAGTTGCCCTTTTCCACTGATCATTAGGACATTAACTTTTAGAATCATTTCTGTTTTTGCCTCTTGTTTTGAAGGCAGCTTTTTAATTTCCTCAAATAATTGCAATGGAACAAAAAAATTCCTCTCTTTTTTACATATGTGCACTTTCATAAGAGATGTAATGTTTTTAAATAAAATAGTTAATTCATCAAAAGCATGTCTCTAACAATGCGAAGGTTATAAAGATTAATAATAGTAGAAATATCTGTGTACCAGTCACTCAGAATAATTCTAGTTAGATATAGTTGTTGTAAGGACAAAAAAGAAAATAGATCTAAAAAGGTCAATAAGTGAGATCACTGCATAGTTCTTTATAGTTTAACAAGAGTTCTTTAGTTAGGGCCTGCTCCACACTTATTCAATTCTCTGTTTTTCCACCGAATTTCCTTTCCAAACAATGTACAGTGTTTCCAGAATCTATCAAAATTTCATAAAAGCTATGATTCCCAACTTATACAAACTATCCACCAAGATGTTTTCTCCCAAACATCTCATTCTTGAACCAAGCCATTAAAGACTTGGACTGTGACACAGTTTTCATTCTGAGAACCATACACATCTGTGTAATTACTCTCACTCCCATTTACTACCCTATACAGGGAATCCCTGTGGCCTTAGGCTTACACACACACTGGGAGCTATAAGGACCAGAAAAAGTGAAAAGTGATCCATTCAGTAAAGACCCTTCATTGCCTACCACAAGGAGAAACAATTCCACAGGAAATGGCTTAGGCAGAGTCATCCCAAACCCAAGCCACCTGTACTGGCTGGAAATCAACTGTGGAGTGCCAACCCACACTAACCAGCCAGCTATACCCAGCGCTTTCATTCTCATAAAAGACTAAACTACTGTAAACCCAAAATAAAATTATGAGCCCCCCACCTCCACAAACCATCTGAATGGACATCCTCCTCTGCCAGGGCACTCTAAAATTTAACCTGAAAGACTGGTTCAGGATATGACAGAAAGTGGGGGTGGGGGAGGTGCAGATCAGACCTGCCTCATTATATCCTCCAACATTAACGTAAACACAAACCTTAAATGTGATAAGAAACATAATGTATTCTCTCGGAAGCCTTCTACCTGGAGGCCCCATCAGGATGATGAAACTTTGGTGTCTACAACCTCGTACTATAATCCAGACACTACATTTTATTGATAATAACTCTTTCAACCAGTTGTCAGTCAGAAAATTTTTAAATCTGCCTATAAATTGGAAGTACCCCCCTTCCAGTTGTCCCATCTTTCTGGACCGAATCATTGTATATTATAACTGTATTTAAATGATGTCTCATTTTTCCATAAAATGTATAAAATCAACCTGCACCCTGACCACCTTGGGCACATGTTCTCAAGATATCCTGAGGGCTGTGTCACAGGCCATAGTCACTCATATTTATCTCAGAATAAATCTTTTCAAATATTTTACAGAGTTTGACTCTTTCTCCACACTATGCCCCTATCTTCTGTCCCCAGTCACCACAAAAACACAACCCCCAGCTCCGCTTACACCCCTATCCCTCACCCATCCACTCAACAAACCCCCGCCCACACCTTCACACACCATTCCACTCTCATCTTCCAAACTCAGGAACACACCAATTAACCCCCACCCCAACCCCCTGCACACATTGCAGCTCAGCCAATCAGACGGTGTCTCTCTGGGGGTCCTGTCATCCGGCCTTTTTCCCTACCTGGGGAATTTACCACACAATAGAGCCCCATTTACAAGTTGAAAGCCAGTTTCTCCAGGGCAGTACCAGCCTGAAAAAAGGGAGGGGCTAGCCTAAGGGCCTCATCTGCTAGGAAAGGTTCCCAGCTATTCCCACTTGGAAAGAAGCTGGGAGAGATCAAAATTTGAGCTGATTTGTTAGTTCTCACTCTTCTGCCCCTATCCGGACCTCCACCCTGTTGGTTTGTAGGGCAAGTTTTTGTTTGTTTTCCTTGTCAGCTGCCTAGAAACCCTGCCTGCTGCCTAGACAGAAAAATTTATCAAGACAGGGGAATTGCAATGGAGAAAGAGTAATTCACACAGAGAGGCTGTGTGGAACACTGGAGTTTTATTATTACTCAAATCAGTCTCTCCAAGCCTTCCCTAGGATCAGAGCTTTTAAGGATAATTTGGTGGGGAGTGCTAATTGGTCGGATTGGAGATGAACTCGTAGGGGGTCAAAGTGAGTTTCTCTTGCTGCCTTCTATTCCTGAGTGATCAGAGAACTGGTTGAGCCAGATTACCGGTCTGGGTGGGGTCAGTTGGTGCCTGGAGTGCAGGGTCTGCAAAATATCTCAAACACTGATGTTAGGCTTTGCAATAGTGATGTTATTCCAAGAAGCAATTTGGGGAGGTTCACACTCTTGCAGCCAGAGACTTCATGGCCCCAAACGATAATTTCTAATCTTATAGCTAATTTGTTAGTCCTACAAAGGCAGACTCAGACTGGTCCCCAGGCAAGAAGGGGTGATTTGTTTTGTTTTGCTTTCTCCTTCAGGAAAGGGTGATTAATGGTTTTTAAAAGTTAAACTGTAAACTAAATTCCTTCCCAAGGTTAGTTCGGCCTATGCCCAGGAATGGACAAGGACAGCTTAAAGGTTAGAAGCAAGATGCAGTGAGAGTGAGTTAGGTCTGATCTCTTTAACTTTCATAATTTCCTCGGTTACAAGTTTTGCAAAGGCGGCTTCAGCCTTGCTGAGACAAAGTGTATGATTGTTTTCAAGGTTACCTGACTTACATGGCATTTTTAAACTGACCTAGGCCTGCTTTTCTCCTTCCTCGCTTGCCCTAGTAGTTGTATAGGGCCAGACTGTGATAACTTGCATTTGCTTTTGTCTTCATCCATTGTCCTGTCTGCTTTTGTGATTAGGATATAATAGTTAGAAGCATTCCTTCATATTTCTTCAACTGGCTCTGCTAACTTTTTATATAAAATTGGTATTTGCTCTGCCAGAGCATCTGAAAAATCCATCTGTATATTCATGTATCCATTGTGGCGCCATCCGAAAACGCTTTGACTATTAATATATTGGTATGATACTAATTGATAAGAAACTAATAATTGACAGTGTCATAAAATGGAAGAAAAGAGAAAAAGCAATGTGTGAATTCAAATTTTCCAGGTGATACTGCACCCCAGAAGGTCTCTGACTTATAAGACACTCTTAAAATGCTTCCCTCTTGAATAAAAAACACTTTTTCAGCCTGGAAACTAAAAGCCTTCATGACCTGGGTCCTTTTCCTTTTCTACCTCTTCTGTTTATTACTTCTGCAGCATTTATTACAGTTTCCTGCTCATTTGGCTTCAGGCCATGTCACCCAACATACCAAGTCTTCCTTTTGTATTTTTTAGTTTCTCCTACCTGGAATTCACTTTCTCCATCTGCTGGGTAAAATCATGCTGATTATTCTAAACTTTCATAACTTATCTCTGGAGCCTTTCCATGAAGCTGTACTTAGATAAGTTATCCCCCTTTTTTCATTCACCTACCCTCTGAGAACCCCACATATCTGAGACAGGTCTCAGTTAATTTAGAAAGTTTATTTTGCCAAGGTTGAGGACTCGTGCCCATGACACAGCCTCAGAAGGTCCTTAAGACATGTGCCCAAGGTGGTCAGAACAAAGTTTGGTTGTATACATTTTGGGGAGACATGAAACACCAATTGACATATTTAAGATGAACTTTGGTTTGGTTTGAAAAGACAGCATAACTAGAAGCAATGGCAGGATGAATTGAAGTGGGGAGGGGACCTCCAGGTGATAGGTAGATAAGAGACAGATGGTAGCATTATTTTGAGTTTCTGATTAGCCTCTCTAAAGGAGGCAATCAAGTATGGATTTATCTCAGTGAGCAGAGGGGTGACTTTGAATAGAATGGGAGACAGGTATGCTCTAAGCAGTTCCTAGCTTGACTTTTCCATTTAGCTTAGTGATTTAGGGGCCCCAAGATTTATTTTCCTTTCGTGCCTCCATCCCTCTGTTACAGTATTTACTACTGGCAGGGTGTGTGTGTGTGTGTGTGTGTGTGTATTATACACATAACATAAATCTTCATTTACTGTCACCTATAGGTCCTTGGAAACTGTGACTTCAAGTGAAATGTTGTATGAGGAAACAAATTTTACCTTAGACTAATTGATATAAATAACTGTTCAGTTCCTATGGCATATTTCTGGTCAAAAACCTCACCAGACTTCTAAATGAAGACCCCAAACACATCTAATATTAACATTGAGATAAACGTAAAGTAACAAGTAAGAAAATTATTTACCCAATATTTGGTGAATCAATGAATGATGGTGGTCATAGTGGTCATGGGTTAAATCAGGGAATAAATATTTGCAAAGGGAAAACTGTAATGAGTACTTTTTGTTGTCAGAGATGTGTGAACCAGAGTGAATCCATCTTTAATAGCAGCTAGGTAAAATGAGGCTGAGACTTACTAGGCTGCATTCCAAGATGGTTAAGGCATTCCAAGTCACAGGATGAGATAGGAGGTCAGCACAAAATACAGGTCATACAGATCTTGCTGATAAAACAGGTTGCAGTAAAGAAGCCATCTAAAACCCACCAAAGCCAAGATGACAACAAGAGTGACCTCTCTGGTCGCCCTCACTGCTATACTCCCACCAGCACCATGACAGTTTACAAATGCCATGGCAATGACAGGAAGTTACCCTATATGGTCTAAAAAGGGGAGGCATGAATAATCCACCCCTTATTTAGCACATAATCAAGAAATAACACTACAAATGGGCAACAGGCAGCCCTCTGGGACGCTCTGTCTATGGAGTAGCTATTATTTTTTTTAAGTTTAGGATACATGTGCATATTTGTTACATAGGTATAGGTATACATGTGCCATGGTGGTTTGCTGTACCTATTGACCTGTCCTCTAAGTTCCCTCCCATCTACCCCCACCCTCCAACAGGCCCGAGTGTGTGTGTTTTCCCCTCCCCGTGTCCATGTGTTCTCATTGTTCAACTTCCATTTATGAGTGAGAACATGTGGCATTTGGTTTTCTGTTCTTGTGTTAGTTTGCCAAGGTTGATGGCTTCCAGCTTCATCCATTTCCCTGCAAAGGACATAATCTCATTCCTTTTTATGTCTGCATAGTATTCCATGGTATATATGTACCACATTTTCTTTATCTAGTCTATCATTGATGGGCATTTGGGTTGGTTCCATGACTTCAGTATTGTAAATAATGCTGCAATAAACATATGTGTGCATGTGTCTTTATGGTAAAATGATTTATAATTCTTTGGGTATATACCCAGTAATGGGATTGCTGGGTCAAATGGTATTTCTGGTTCTAGATCCTTAAGAAATTGCCACACTGTCTTCCATAATGGTTGAACTAATTTACCCTCCCACCAACAGTATAAAAGCATTTTTATTTATCCACAGCCTCGCCAGCCAAGAAATATCTATTGTTTCTTGACTTTATAATTGCCATTCTGACTGGCATAAAATATTATCTCATTGTGGTATTGATTTGCATTTCTTTTTTTTTTTTTTTTTGAGGCAGAGTCTTGCTCTGTCACCCAGGCTGGAGTACAGTGGCACAATCTCAGCTTACTGCAACTTCTGCCTCCTGGGTTCAAGCAATTCTTTTGCCTCAGCCTCCCAAGTAGCTGGGACTACAGGCCCACACCACCAGGCCAGGCTAATTTTTTGTATTTTTTTAGTAGAGATGAGGTTTCACCATGTTGCCCAGGCTGGTCACAAACTCCTGAGCTCAGGCAATCTGCCTGCCTCGGACTCCCAAAGTGCTGGGATTATAGGCATGAGCCACTGTGCCCGGCTTTGATTTGCATTTCTCTAATGATCAGTGATGTTGAGCTTTTTTTCATATGTTTGTTGGCCACGTACATGTCTTCTTTTGAGAAGTGTTTGTTCATATCCTTTGCCCACTTTTTGATGAAGTTGGGTTTTTTTTTTCTTGTAAATATGTTTAAGTTTCTTGTAAATTCTAGATATTAGACCTTTGTCAGATGGGTAGACTGCAAAAATTTTCTTTTATTCTGTAGGTTGCCTGTTCACTCTGATGATAGTTTCTTTTGCTATGAAGAAGCTCTTTAGTTTAATTAGATTCCACTTATCAATTTTGGTTTTTGTTGCAATTGTTTTTGGCTTTTTTTTCATGAAGACTTTGCCATACCTATGTTCTGAATGGTATTGCCCAGATTTTCTTCTAGGGCTTTTATGTTTTGGGGTTTTACATTTAACACTCTAATCCATTTTGAGTTACTTTTTGTACAAGGTGTAAGGAAGGGGTCCAGTTTCAGTTTTCTGTATATGGCTAGCCACTTTTCCCAGCACCATTTATTGAATAGGAGATCCTTTCCTCATTGCTTGTTTTTGTCAGTTTTGTCCAAGATCAGATGGTTGTAGATATGTGGTATTATTATCTGAGGTCTCTATTCTGTTCCATAGGTCTATATGTCTGTTTTGATACCAGTACCATGCTGTTTTGGTTACTGTAGCCTTCTAGTATAGTTTGAAGTCAGGTAGTGGGTCTTGTTTGATTTCATATGAAATCAGTATTTTTTTTCTAATTCCATAAAGAATTTCAATGGTGGTTAGATGGGAATCATATCGAATCTATAAATTATTTTGGATAGCATGGAGTATCTATTTTTTATTCCTTTACTTTCCTAATAACTTGCTTTCACTTTACTGTATGGACCTGCCCTGAATTCTTTCTTGTGTGGGATCCAAAAACCCTCTCTTGGGGTCTGGATTGGGACCCTTTTCTGGTAACACTACTACCATAAACTTTAAAACCATAACAAATATTGGACTCACTGAATGTTTTTATACCTAATTGTTTATTGTCATGCACTTGTATGATTCTGGTATATGCTGCAAATTTTTTATTTGCCAATAATTTGTATTCATTTATTTTCCACCTGGCTTATTCCAGTTTAGAGTCTTGCCTATCCAGAGCCTATCTCAACAGTTCGGGACACAAGGAAGAAAGCAAGATATAAATAACCATGGAAGCAAATTCAACCACCACTTGTTTTTATAAAGTTTGTTGAAACACAGCCATGATAATTTGCTTGCATACTATCTATAGCTACATTTGCTAAAAAAAAAAAAAAAAAACCAGAGTAGTTGGCTGGGTGTGGTGGCTTACACCTGTAATCCCAGTACTTTGAAAGGCCAAGACAAGAACATCACTTGAGCCTTGGAGTTCTAGACTAGCCTGGGCAACATGGCAAAACCCCCCATCACTATTAAAATATCTTTAAAATTAGCCAGGCATGGTGGCACACACTTGTGTTCCCAGCTACTCAGGAGGCTGAGGGGGGAAGATCACCTGAGCTTAGGGAAGTCAAGGCTGCAGTAAGCCAAGATTGTGCTACTGCACTCCAGCCTGGGTGACAGAGACCCTGTCTCAGAAATAAAAAGGAAAAAAAAAAGAGAGAAAGCAATGTGTGAATTCAAATTTTCTAGGTAAGACTAAACCCCAGAAGGTCTCTGACCTATAGGACACTCTTAAAATGCTTCCCTCTTGAATAAAAAATACTGTTTCAGCCTGGCAACTAAAAGCCTTCATTACCTGGGTCCTTTTCCTTTTCCAACTCAAAGCAAGACTCAGTTGTGATTACAACCATATGGATTGCAAAGTCTAAAATATTTACTGTTTGACCTCTCACATTAGAAAGCTTACTAAATTCCTGGAACAATCTATGGTGAACACAGCTCCACAGGAGGAACACCCTGGCTACTTCCCCAGATTGAGGATTGCGTGAGAGGCAGAGTCATAATTCCTCCCTACTTGGAACATCAACATTCCTACAGATGCTAAGAGGTGCATGTCTGACCTGAATAGCCAAAACCCTGAGACAGCAATAAGCCTGTGAGGGGAACAGCTTTCCTGCTCACCAGGCAGGGGAGCTGGGATAGCTCACACTTTTTACCCTGGTAAAACCTCAGCACACCTAATTGAGAGCTCCCCCAGCCACCCTCATCAAGGCTGGGACCTTGTTCCACTTCTGGATATTACATCTACCCACCTGCCTTAGCTACAGGGATATTTTTCCTATTGGCCTGAAGCCTGAATCATCAACTCAGTAAATAAAATACCAGTAAATAGGTAAAATGTACATCACAAGAGAATGAGATAAGCTTCAAGAGATCCCTGCCATTTCAGCCCGACAAAAGACAGTGAACTTGCCACACATCAAGAACAGAACCACTACAGCCAGCATCTGGAAATAGCCAGTGTACAAAGACTCTCTATAACTAAGGAAATCATAAAGAGCCTTCACCACTAAAAGCACCAAAAATCAAATTAAGCTAAAATAAACATTAAAGTCTGAAGCCTAAGAGGGAAAAAAAGAAATTAAAAAGAAAAAACAGAGTCCAATCAAAAATTCAAGAGCAATTTGAAGAAATAGTATATCCAACTGAGAAGGAATTTGCAAAAGTAATTCTGGTAATATAACACAACAGGGTTGCATGACATGCTCAGAAGATCACACTAGCTCCTCAGCAATGGATCTAACCCAATAAGAAATCCCTGAATCACCAGATAAATAATTCAGAAAGAATTCAAAGAGATACAAGAGAAACATGAAAATGAATTTAAAGAAATTTTAAAAACAATTCAGGACATGGATAAAGAATTTTTCAGTGAGTTTTCAATAAGATAGAGTGGCTCACCCCTATATTCCCAGCACTTTGGGAGGCCAAGGTGGGTGGATCACCTGAGGTCAGGAGTTCAAGACCAACATGGAGAAACCCTGTCTCTACTAAACATACAAAATTAGCTGGGCATGGTGGTCCATGCTTATAATCCCAGCTATTTGGGAGGCTGAGGCAGGACAATTGCTTGAACCCTGGAGGCAGAGGTTGTGGTGGGCTGAGATTGCACCATTCCACTGTAGCCTGGTAAACAAGACCAAAACTCTGTCTCGAACAAACAAAAAAAAAAGGAAGAAAGAAAGAAAGAAAAAGAATTTTCCAGAGAAATAGATTCCATAAGGAAATCACAATCAGAACTTCTGGAAATAAAAGACACATTTAGGAAAACACAAAATACACTGGAAAGTGTCAAGGAAAGACTAGAACAAATAGAAGAAAGAATTTCAGAGCTGGAAGACAAGGCTTTCAATTTTTTTTTTTTTTTTTTTTGAGACAGAGTTTCGCTGTTGTTACCCAGACTGGAGTGCAATGGCACAATCTCAGCTCACCGCAACCACCGCCTTCTGGGTTCAAGCAATTCTCCTGCCTCAGCCTCCTGAATAGCTGGGACTACAGGCTGCGCCACCATGCCCAGCTAATTTTTGTATTTTTAGTAGAGACAGGGTTTCACCTTGTTGACCAGGATGGTCTCGATCTCGTGATCCACCCGCCTCGGCCTCCCAAAGTGCTGGGATTAGAGGCATGAGCCACCGCGCCCTGCCAAGGCTTTCAAATTAACTAAATCAAACAAGACACAGAAAAAATAGTTTTTAAAAAATGAACAAAGTCTTTAAGAAATATGAGATTATATAAAATGGCCAAACCTAAGAATAATTAGTATTCCTGAGGAAGAAGAGAAATCTAAAAGTTTGGAAAACTTACTTGAGGGAATAATTGAGAAAAACTGCCCTGGCCTTGCTAGAGATCTAGACATCCAAATACATGAAGCTCACGAAACTCCTGGGAAATTCATCACAAAAATATTATTGCCAAGGCACATAGTCATCAGGTTATTTAAAGTCAAGAGGCAGGACAGAATCTTAAGAGTTGTGAGACAAAAGCATCAGGCAACCTATAAAGGAAAACCTATCAGATTAACAGAAGATTTCTCAGCAGAAACCTTAAAAAACAAAGGATTGGGGTACTATCTTTATGCTCCTTAAATAAAACAATTGTGACAAGTTTTGTAAGCAGCAAAACTAAGCTTCATAAAACAAAGGAGCGATAGTCTTTTTCAGACAAATGCTGATAGAATTTTACAATACCAAATCAGCACTACAAGAAATGATAAAAAAGATTTATAAATCTTTAAGAAAAACATCAAAATACACTAAAATAGAAGCTCCTTAAAGGATAAATCTCACAGGGCCTATAAAACAATAACACAATTTTTAAAAAGGTATTTAGGCAACAACTAACATCATAAATAGAACAGTAACTCATATTGTAATACTAACATTGAAAATCGGTGGCCTAAATTTTAAAATACAGAATGGCAGAGTAGATAAAAAATGAAAAAAAAAAAAAACAGCAACAAAGTGTCTTCTGTTTTCAGGAGACTCACTTAAACATAATGACTTAGACACACCATAAAGGGTTGGGAAAAGATATTTTATGCAAAGGGAAACCAAAAGTGAGAAATAGCTATTCTTATATCAGACAAAACAGACTTTAAAGCAACAACAGTAAAAATAGACAAAGAAAAACATCACATAATGATAAAAAGATTAGTCCAGCAAAAAGATGTTATAATCCTAAATATATATGCATTCAATATTGAAGCTTTTAAATTTATAAAACAATTATTACTAGGCCTAAGAAATAAGATAAACAGCAACACTATAATAGTGGGGGATCTCAGTGCTCCATTGACAGCACTAGACAGATCATCAAAACAGAAAATCAACAAAGAAGCAATGGACTTAAGAGATATTTATAGAACATTCTACCCAGTTGCAGTCTATACATTCTTCTCATCAACACATGGAACATTCTCTAAGATAGACCATATTATAAGACACAAAACGTGTCTCAATATATATTAAGAAAATCAAGTATCTTCTCAGACCACAGTAACTGAAAACAAACACCAAAAGTAACCCTAAAGCTGTACAAATACATGGAAATTAAATAATCTGCTCTTGATTGATCCTTGGATCAGCCTGAGACCCATCACTAGGTGAGAAACTGGTTTAAGATTCTGTCTTGTTGGCCGAGCGTTGTGGCTCAAGCCTGTAATCCCAGCAATTTGGGAGGCCGAGGCGGGTGGATCACGAGGTTAAGAGATTGAGACCATCCTAATCAACATGGTGAAACCCCATCTCTACTAAAAAAACTACAAAAAATTAGCTGGGCTTGATGGTGCGTGCCTGTAATCCCAGCTGCTCAGGAGGCTGAGGCAGGAGAATTGCCTGAACCGAGGAGGTGGAGGTTGCGGTGAGCCGAGATTGCGACATTGCACTCCAGCCTGGGTAACAGGAGCGAAAACTCTGTCTCAAAAAAAAAGATTCTGTCTTGCAAATCCCTTTTAAAGGACTAAAGTTAGCATTTAACAACCAGCTGGTGTTAATTTCTGCTTACACTTAGAGCACTCAGAGATCTTATAATTTGTCTGATCATTGCTCATTTAGCAGCGTTTTCTCCTAGTTAAAATATGGTAATAAGATTTTTAAAAATTGTTTTTAAAGGAACTCAATGGTTAAAAAGTCAGCTTAACTAAAAGGCTAATATCCAAAATGTGTGTGTGTGTGTATGTGTGCATGTGTGCATATTTGTATTTGAAAGGCCTTTATGTTTTGGGTTTTTTTGTTTGTTTCTTTGTTTTTTTCTCCTAAGACCTTGTCTTTTTTTGAGCATACTTTTTTTTTTTATTCTCAGTTGACTGAATTTTGTTTTCACTTGATTTTTTTTTTTTTTTTTGAGATAGAGTCTTACCGTGTCACCCAGGCTGGAGTGCAGTGGCATGATCTTGGCTGACTACAACCTCTGCCTCCTAGATTCAAGTAATTCTCTGCCTCAGCCTCCCAAGTACCTGAAATTACAAGAGCCCACCACCACACCTGGCTAATTATTGTATTTTTAATAGTGATGAGATTTCACCATCCTGGCCAGGCTGGTCTTGAACTCCTGACCTCATGATCCACCAATCTCAGCCTCCCAAAGTGCTGGGCTTGCAGTCATGAGTCACTGCACCTGGGCTGCTAGTTTTAAAATTGGTAAAGTAATATTAGAAATATGTTAAGAATTGTCCAGCACTGGGAAATGTGGCACATATACACCATGGAATATTATGCAGCAATAAAAAATGATGAGTTTGTGTCCTTTGTAGGGACATGGATGAATCTAGAGAACATCATTCTCAGCAAACTGACACAAGAACAGAAAATGAAATACCGCATATTCTCACTCATAGGCGGGTGATGAAAAATGAGAACACGTGGACACAGGGAGGGGAGTACTACACACTGGGGTCTATTGAGGGGAATAGGGGAGGGACAGCGGGGGTGGGGGGGAGCTGGGGAGGGATCGCCTGGGGAGAAATGCCAAATGTGTGTGAAGGGGAGGAAGGCAGCAGAACACACTGCCATGTGTGTACCTATGCAACATCTTGCATGTTCTGCACATGTACCCCAAAACCTAAAATGCAATAAAAAAAAATAAAAAATAAAGAATTGTCCAGCATACATTTTTGTTTGTATTTATTAATCAAGCAGTTTCATACTTACCCCTGCCAAATACGGTAAGGTGTCAAAATTTTGGCATAGGGGTTACAAAACTATACACCACCCCAAAACAGAATATTTGCTTGTGCAATTTTTAATAAATCAGACATTGATATGGGTTTAATAAAAATACCTGCATCTTAAATTTAGTAAAATTGCGATAACTTTTAATCCTATGGCTTTAGGCATTCTGATTCACTGACAATAAGGAAGTTTGTTTTGGGAAAGGACTGTTATTGTCATTGTTTCAAAACTGTACTATAAATTGTGTTTCTCCCTAAGTTTGTTCAGCCTATGCTGAGGAATAAACTAAGACAACTTGGAATTAAGAGCAGTATGGAGTCAGTTACATCAAATCTTTTTTCACTGTCTCAGTTATAATTTTGCTATGGTGGTTTCATAACTTTAAATCATGACTATTACAGTTTTCTTAAATAATCCACATAAACAGTTAAAATAAAATCAGTAAATGTAATTGGATAAATACTTGTAGACAAACTGGTCATAATTTAGAATATAAAGCTATATTAAATTAAATAATAGATATTTTATTATTTGGGTATTTTTCAATAAATATATATTGTAGGAAAACATTCTTGCTATAGAAAACAGAGTATGTCCTTCAAAAAAAAAAAGAACAAATTTTATGTAATTCAAAGCTTATTTAAAGGTTATGTCTAAAACAAATTAAAAGAAACTAGGTATAAAAAAGGATGTAAAGAGGGATTCCATGTTTGGGTCCCCTTCCACAAACACTCCCTTCGTGGAAGCCATCTTTCTCTCTCCTGGATTTCCCCTCTGGAGTCCCCTTCCACACTCTCTCGTGGAAGCCTGTTTTCCCCTCCTAAACTCCATCTCTCTCTCTCTCTCTCTCTCTCTCTCTATTCCCTTCCCCTCAGTGTGGAAGCTGCTTTTCTCTCCTGGATTCCATCTTTCTGGATTCTCTCTTTAAAATAAAAATAATAAAAAAAGATGTAAAGAAAGTTATAAAAGTAAAGAAGTATATTTTTGAGGTTAAAAAGCTTAAAGAGAAATAATTTTATATAAGAAATAATCTTATAGGGTAACATTAGTCATAAAGTAAAATAACTGCTTTTTTAAAAAGGAGGGATGTTGGGAACTAATCAGAAAGTCTGACCATGTCATGAACAGTCAGTGTAAGTCACAATAAGAGGACTTATAAATATTTACCAAAAAAACCCCAAAACTTTTATATAATCAAGTTTTCATACTATTATTAAGTTTTGGTTTACTTAGGGAAAAAAAGAATGTTTTTTAATGAAGGTTATTATATTCATGTTCTGTATCTGCTTTTAAAGTCCTTGTAATGGCTGAGTGCCGTGGTTCACACCTGTAATCCCAGCACTTTGGGAGGCCAAGACAGGCAGATCATGAGATCAGGAGCCCAGCCTGGCCAGCATGGTGAAACCCCGTCTCTATAAAAAATACAAAAATTAGCCAGGCATGATGGTGCACACCTGTAGTCCCAGCTACTTGAGAGGTTCAGGCAGGAAAATTGCTTGAACCCAGCACGCAGAGGTTGCAGTGAGCCGGGTTTGCACCACTGCACTCCAGCCTGGGCAACAAAGCGAAACTCAGTCACAAAAAAAAAAAAAAAAAGTCCTTGTAACATTGAGTTACAGGGCGTAAGTTCCTGGGTTAAAGAAACCAAATGCTGCTAAATCTCAAACACTGACAGCAATTAAAGCCTCATCTTCAGGCCCCTTGGAAGACGCCAATAAAAACAAACTACGTTCCTGAGATACAGGGCAAGAAATTAAAGCTATTCAACTCCTCAAGTCCCAGAGACCATAGCAGAAGAGATGGACCCATAAGATTGTAAGGGCCGATTTTGAAAGATAAAATGAGTTTAGTTTCTCTATAAATTAATGTCAAAGGCACACTGATGTAAAACCAGTATATGGACCCCTGTGTCAGATTAACAAGGTTTTCTTGAATCATTAACCAACTTCCTAATAAAGGTTATAAAAGGCTAATGGAAGTTATATTTTATAATCAAGATGAAATTTTATAGATTACAAAATTTTGAAAAACAAATGTAATTGGCTTCATGCTGTTTTCTTTTTTCTTTCTATATATTTTTTTTCTTTTGAGACAGAGTTTTGCTCTTTTGCCAGGCTGGAGTGCAGTGGCATGATCTTGGCTCACTGCAACCTCTGTCTCCTGGATTCAAGCAATTCCCCTGCCTCAGCCTCCTGAGTAGCTGGGACTACAGGTGCATGCCACAACGCCTGGCTAATTTTTTGTATTTTAGTAGAGACGGTGTTTCACCATGGCCAGGATGGTCTCGATCTCCTGACCTCATGATCTGCCCTCCTCTGCCTCCCAAAGTGCTGTGATTACAGGCGTGAGCCACCGCACCTGGCCTTCATGCTGTTTTCAGTAGGGCTTCTAGTTTAGAAAACTAAGTCTCCTCTCTCAAAGACTGAAGGATTTTTGAAATGCTTGAATTATCACTTTGGGTAAATAAATGTCTTTTCAATGACTTGTAATTCCATTGTTTAATATCAAGTGATTTAAACCTTTTATATTTGACAGACTTTCCAAAATCAAATTTTATATTATGTCTTTTTCTAACCTAATTAATCCTTCAAGACATTAGGTTTCCTAAAGTCTAAAAATGAAATAAATAATTTGACTTATTTTGATATAAAAATTATTCAGGAAGCTTTGTGAAATATGAAATGGTATTTGCTTTTCTTTGGGCTGTATTTGTATAAAAATGTTACAGGTACGTGTTCCAAAATTATGGGAAATTCCTGTAATGCTGATATAACTTAGTGTACATTATCAGTAATAATCATAATTGTTACATTAAAATCATTGTGTGCCATAGAGTTAAGAAATTTTCTTGTCAGTTGTGTCTTTTTACTATGGCTGTCTTAAAACTTTCTCTTTTTTTCTGGCTGGGTGCGGTGGGTCACACCTGTAATCTCAGCACTTTGGGAGGCCAAGGCAGGTGGATCATTTGAGGTCAGGAGTTAGAGACCAGCCTGGCCAACATGGTGAAACCCTGTCTCTACTGAAAATACAAAAGTTAGCCAGGTGTGGTGGTGGGAGCCTGTAATCCCAGCTACTCAGGAGACTGAGGCAGGAGAATCGCTTGAACCTGGGAGGTGGAGGTTGAAGTGAGCCAAGGTGGCACCACTGCACTCCAGCCTGAGCCACAGAGCGAGACTCCATCTCAAGAAAACAAAAAACACACAAACAAAATACCTTTTTTTAAATCCACAAACAATTATCTTGTTCGGTATTATTTTAAAATAAAATGACATAATGAAATTCTGAGCTTGGGGAGAAGGGTGGGAGGGGAGTGAGGGATAAAAGACATATATTAGGTACCGTGTACACTGCATGGGTGACACATTCACCAAAATCTCAGAAATCATCACCAAAGAACTTTGCCATGTAACCAGAAACCACCTTTACCCCACAAACTATTGAAATATAAAAAAGATCCAGGCTCTAACAGATTAGTGTTTTCCAGAGGTTAAGACAGTGGGGGGCAGGAGGGTAATGGGTGTGACAATAGATAGAGGTGTACCATGAGGTATTCTGTCCCACTGTCTTACCTGTATTAAAGGCAAGATCCTGGCTGTGCTATGGTACTATATTATTAAAAGACCAGCTCTGAACATATCAACATGGATTCAAAGTCTGTCAAAGTGATCAAGTGGTCAGTGAAAAGAATGACAAGGAAACAGTTTTCCTTAAGGCTGGGCCCAGGGGAGACACCACATAATGCTGCTCCGGGGATGTCTAACATTCCCCTGATAACCTCAGTTTTTATTATGTTCTTTCATTAGGGGAGGGGGAGTGAGGTTACACAGAGTTTCAGTGATAATTATACAAAAAGAAACATAAGCAAAAACTGTTGACCAAAGATCACAATATGGTATTGTAAAAACAGAACAATGTAAAAGTTACTATCTGTGCATCAGCATAAAAACCATAAACCTTAGCAAGAATAGAGGTTAATTATAAACTTAAAATTATCAGCAAGAAAAGCATTGGGCTCACAGCTGCAGGGAGAACAGGATCTGACACAATACAACCAGCCTGACCACAAAACTGCAAGAGGAGGGAGACCTCCATGCAGGCCCTGGAGGAGCAGAGGGAGAAGAAATACTTACATCCTTATCTCAACCACAGAAGTTTTTCCTCACGACAGACGCCCCTCGTGCATCCGTTTATAGGCTCTCAATAAGGGTTGCATTCCCTTTGCAGGGCTACAATTAACATGCCTTTCCTGGGAAAGAAGTCTCGGTAATAAGCCTCTCCATTACATGTTTGTTTATAGGCTATCTGCCATGAGAAGCTTATTATGTGCTTTGCTGTTATCTCTCTCTGGCAGTCAGGCTATGTGGTTTGTCTTTAACACAGAGTTCCTGTTTTATAAGAACAGCTCAGCAGAGCCAAAGTTACAAGCTACATTTTAACTTTTCATATTATTCTTCATTTTCTCAAATATAATCGATTCAGGAAGTAACAAACATAACAAAGCAAATAACTCATTTTGGGGTAACCAAATTCTTAAGATAATTTACAGGTTAAAAATTAACAACAATTTCTTGTTATTTCAGATAGCTCGGGTTTTACTATTCTTCCAGAAGCTTGGGGTTTCTCATCACCACCGAGGGGTCCACACTGTTCCCAGCATTATATCATTAAGATGGAAACTGGGTAAAGAATATGTGGGCATTTCTGTATTATTTCTTAAAACTCCATGTAAATCTACAATTATCTAAAAACAAAAAGGTTAATTTAAAACAAATTTTATTTTTAAAAAACTTGCTGATCCTGTTATAGAATGTCAAGGATTTTGCAAGTCCTCCTTATATTGCTACCTGAGCATCCTTTGTAAATTATTTTATGTATTGTATAATTTTATCAGGTTGCTGCTTCTTTTTAAATTTAGTGAACCATCAGCATTTAAGACAAAAAAAACTGAAAGAACTAAAAATTAAGAACTATGATAAAATCTACCCAGAGTTTCTTCAAGAATTAAAGATAAATGAGTGTAAAATATGTAGAGCATAAAGGTTGTAATTTATTATGAAAGCAGAGATGAAATTAGGTCTTTCACTGTAGAGGAGTAGAATGTTGAAAAAAATAAGGTGGCAAGATTGCTTGAGCCCAGGTGGCCAAGATTATAGTGAGCTATGATTGTACCATTGCACTGCAGCCTGAGTGACAGAGCAAGACTGTGTCAAAAAAAAAGCCCGGGCACAGTGGCTCACATCTATAATCCCAGCACTTTGGGAGGCCGAGGCAGGTGGATCACGAGGTCAATAGATCGAGACCATCCTGGTCAACAAGGTGAAACCCCGTCTCTACTAAAAATAAAAAAATTAGCTGGGCATGGTGGTGCTCACCTGTAGTCCCAGCTACTCGGGAGGCTAAGGCAGGAGAATTGCTTGAACCCGGAAGGCGGAGGTTGCGGTGAGCCGAGATCGTGCCATTGCACTCCAGTCTGGGTAACAACAGCAAAACTACGTCTTAAAAAGAAAAAAAAAATGGCTAGGTCCATCTGCCTAAAGTCTTCCTCTAGACTTTCTTGGAAATGTGGCTGAGTGGAGAAAGAGGATGGCCAAGTCAAAACAGTTTCACATTAAAGATGAAGTTACAGGTAGTATTTCCTTATCAAAAGAACAAAAGACAGTAAGGCTATTAATGAGAGATAAGTGCCATTGTGTTCCAGCCACATTTAACCCATGTGAGGTGTAATGTAATGGTTCTGAGGTGTAATGTAATGGTATGGTAATGAAACTGAAGTACAAGTGGTGAAATGTTAAATGATCTTGGGTGATCTAAGGAGTGAAGTACCTAAAAGATATCAGAGCAGTGGCCCATGCAACACTGGATGGCACATTAATTTGAGAAACATTTAAATAGTTAAATGTATCTCAAGAAAACATTATATTAAAGGTAGTATAACAGTATTGAAAATATCATTAATTGGTACATAAATGACTTAAGGATTCAGTGCAGATTCAGAACAATCACTGTTAATGGTGGAGGGTGTCTAGGTTCTTGGCATCTTGAACAAAGAATTGGACAAAATGCACAAACAAACCAAGGCAAGAATCAGTGTAGGAGCAGGCTTGAGCATAGGGGCTCAAAGTTCCTATTACAAAGTTTTTATGAGTTTAAATACCCTCTAATCGGGGTACGCCCTATGTAAATGAAGAGGATGAAGTAAAGTTACAAAGTTATTTACTCGTTGTATGCTCTATGAAGAAGATATTTTCAGTTATAGCTGAAGTGTAAATTGGCCTTATGTTCCCTACCTTCAGAGCCTATTTTCCTGCCTCATCTCCCACTGAGAGATGTGATTCCCATAAAACTTTATGGGAGGAAGAGGGACCAATGATCCTTTTTCTGTAAATGCTTCATGCTGACATGGGGCATAGTCCCTACCTATTGGGGATTACGGAACTCTTACCCTGTTCTGTCTCATGGAGGCAGGGTAGCTCCTTGATGGCCAGGAATGATGTCTTCACCTGGAACTGGCTGGAGCCTTTGTTGAATGATCATCTGAGGCTTGATGGTCTCTAGGTGAGAGGAAATGCGTTTGGTTAAAAGATTTAATGGGAACTTCAGGGGGAGGATACCTATTCTTGTTAGAAATGTTTGTTAAAGATATTTACAGAAGAAAAAATACCTGGTCTGTTCTAGAATCCATGTGTTAGCTTAGAGTCTTAGCACAAGCAACTCCATTTTAGTTTGGTGTGGTTTGTTGGGGCCTAGTGCCTGAGCTTAGTCCCAAACAATGGCTTCCCAGAATTTTGCTTAAAAAAATTCCTCCTTTTCAGTCAGGTACTCACTTAGGTGAGAGTGTGACCAAAACTTAGGGCCTTAGCGCCACTCTCAGTTACTATCATTTTGGGTTTCCAGTATTAGCACATCATAAATAGGTTACAGTGTCCTCATGGTTGCACATTTCTTTTAGCTCCTGTTATTCCAGTAGAAGAGAGACCATGTGGCTGGCATTCTAGAGATGGCCACATGCTGTCAAGAAAACAAAACAAAACAAAACAAAAAAGGACCTTTTTTTCATCCACAAACAATTAACTTGTTTTGTATTATTTTAAAATAGAATGATATAATGGAATTTTGAGCTTGAGGAGAACGGTGGGAGGGGAGTGAGGAATAAAAGACATATATTAGGTAATGTATACACTGCTTGGGTGACACGTTCACCAAAATCTCAGAAATTACCACTAAATAATTTTTCCATGTAACCAAAAACCATCTTTAAAAGGTGATTTAAAAATTTAAAACCTTTGAAAGAATACAGCACACTGGGGAGACTACCAAGAGCTCAACATATGCTCCTTACCCAAGCTCCCCTTAAACCAAACCTCCTAAAATCAAATAGATCAAAGAATGAGCTAGATAAAGAGTTGACTCACTTAACTAAGCAGTCTCTTTATTAACCTCCTACCACCTAAATTCCGTAATCTTTACTTGGTGTATTTCTCTACAGGCCGAAAGTGCCAGCAGCTGCACAGACACTTATCTGTTTGGCCTATTTTATAACTTTCACAAGAGAATTTAGGGCCTATTGTGTAACTGTAGAATTTGCTATAGAACCTATCATGCGGGACACATTTCTAATCATTGCTTCTTTTGTTTTAAATCATGGAACAAAGGCCCGGACAAACGATGCCCCTTTAGAAGAGTGAAGGCCTTCTGACAACTTTCTCTTTAACCCATGATGTGGGTTAAGAGGAGTGAACCAATGTTTTGCTTTTGATTGATTATGAGGCAATGCATTTACCATTAAAATTTCTTACTTTAAGACTTCATTTTTTATCTATCAGAATATAAGGTAATCCACATA